TTATTATTACATAACATTTATTGGGTATGAATGTAACAATCACATTGTAGTCTTTATAGTCATTTTACCTTAAATACTTATCATATTTTGTACTTATCGTTAACTGAAATTTATGCCTAATTAATTATCTTAAACAAATATTTTAGTGTTTTTAATTTCTCATAAGAAAAAAAAAAAGGGAATCCAAACTAGTTGATTGTGGGCCCGCCAGAAACGCGGAAACAGCTTTCGCCAGCTAATCATCTAATGGTGTGGGCCCTGACTGCACCGGCAGCAATTAACGGCTGAGATTCACTCTTAACGAATCAAGGAAGCCCGCTTCGTCTTACCAACTGTCTCTCTGTCTACACAGTCAAAATAAGAAAAAACATAGGGAAGATTTACAAAGTCAGTTCGATTAAAAAATAATTAATGAATTATACTTAAATAAATTTTTTTAATAAAAAAATATGGCTTAAATAATAAAACAAATAATTTTTTATTAACTATCTACTAAATATCCTTTCAATTTATCATTGCATTATAATTATTACTTAATTAATGTTTTTTTCTTTCTTTCAGATTAATCAAGCAAGCTCTTAAATCACTTGAACTACATGCCGAGGGTGGCCGAAGGGTGGCTCGAGCTCGAGCTCGAGCTTAAGCTTGGCTCGACTCGACTCACCCTCTCAAAATTCTCATATCAAGTTAAAAATATCATTATTTTTAAATTATAAAAAAAATAAAAACATATTTTCATAGGTAAATACAATGAGATATATATATGTATGTAAAAATTAAAATTTAGATAAATCTATTGAATAGTTTCAATTTTACAAATAATATAATTTTTTATATATCTCGCTTGTATAACATGGTAAGGCAGGCCAAGCGTCCAACAATTTCCATATATTTAATTATTGTTTAAAAGTCTCAATCATTATATATATATATATATATCATTATATATATAGATATATTGATTTATATATATAAGAAAAAAATATTTTTTTTTTGAAAATAAAATAAGATATTTATATCTGTGCAATAATGCAAACATGTGAATGATAGCAATGAAAAAAATGTACACATTAATTATGAACACCAATTTTTCTCTTTCTTGCTATCCTTTGTTTTTTCAGTGTCCCATAAAATAAATTTTAAATTTTAATTAGACAACAAGGTATTTCTTTAAATTAATATTGTGAGTGTGATAAATATATAATAAGATTATAATATATAGTTATTGTATTTAGATTATTTTTTAAAAGGAATTTATAGCTATTTTAGAGACATATTTGTACATGCAATAAAAAAAATTATTTCACTAAAAAATATGTTTTTATTGTATATTTTTAACATGATATTATACAACTAAATTTTTGCATTCGTTTATCAGAATTAGGCCAACCAGTTGCAGATTCCTCAAGTTAGGGACCCATCTGATTACCATTCACTAACCAATATCAAGTTGCACATTTATATCTTGAAAGAGAAGGGTTGATCCAATTATGCCCAATTAACTATAAACTCTATGTTGTTAATCCCCGTGACTCCAAATCATTCCTCCTTCTATGAGATGGGTAACCCCTATTATCTATATTTATTTACTAATATCATGCAATTAATTTTCTCTCGATCAAAGTAGTATTGTTCCAACATCCCAATCACACACAAATTAGGTCATTAAGTTTCCCTTCCTTTAAGAAGTTATATTACTAAGATCGTCCTCAGTTTTTCATAGAAACCATGTCCTCTTATATCCCCCTCGTGGAAGAAGAGCATTATTATGTCAACCATCTTCAACCACCAATTGATTAGATGTCACCTTATTCATTCTTCTTGGGAAAGCACAATCCTAACTATTTTCAATCTCATATAGACTCTAGTTAGATAAATTAATTTTCTTTCTTATTGGATCAAGGTTACATCGATTAGTTTTTAATATTCATAAACTTTAGGTCTCTATTTTTTTTTAAGAAGGGTACGGTATTTAGCTTCTTTTATTTTACACCTAACTCAAGATCACCCAAATTACTCTCTGACTATCAAAATCATTTTGTATTACTCATTGATTCTAGTTTACTTATCCCTCTAGATCCCCCATGTTCTATATATCATCTAATTTCCCCTCCTTTTAAGACATAATTTATATCGAATTACTTACATCACAAGTTGACTCGAAGTTATCAAATTCTATCTTCATGCAGTTGATTGCCTAAATCCAATTGCTCGCCAATTTTTGGTCTTCTAGCTCTATGTTATGTATAGAGTCTATATTTTCATGAAAAACTTAAAAAATATATAACTTTAACTATTGATGGCTATCATTTAAAAATTCCATTCACAATTTGTATTTCAAAATCGGTGCAACCAAAATATAAGTTTCATACAAAAAAAAAAATCTTTCTCACATAAAACCTCATGTTTCTCTATATAAGAAGAATAAATAGATGTTTCAATGACTTCACAATAAGAACCAACAAATATAAAAGTGAAATTCAAAAAAAGGGTAGGCTTTACTCAAGAAAGACAAGGGGCATTGTAGGTATGTGTAAGGAGTCCCCTACTTGTTCAAGAAAGGTTCTTTGTTTATAGAAAGCAAAATGGACTTTGGAATCTATTTCTCTCATTTGAACTCCCACAATTAGGGGTGTAAACGAACCGAACACGAACGAACAAAGCTTGTGTTCGTGTTCGGTTCGTTTAAAATTTAGTTTGTTTGAAATAAGCTCGTATTCGTTTCTTAACGAACGAGCCAAACACGAACCAAACACGAGCTGTTCGCGAACGACGAGCCAGTTTGACATCCCTAACATTAATATATAAAAATAATATTATACAAATATCTATGTTAGTATATTACTACTATAGTATATTAATATATTATTATTATTATTATTTTATTATATATTATAATTTATAAAATTTAATGTTTTAAAATATAATAAATTTTTTATATATAATTATTTTATATTATTTTATATTTCAAACAATAACGATTCGAACACGAACGAACGCATCACCGTTCGTGTTTGGTTCGTTTAACTAACCGAACGAAAAAAAATTGTTCGCGTTTGTCTCGTTTACTTATCGAACGAATCGAACACGAACTCATTGACGAACCGAACACGAGCTGTTCGCGAACAACGAGCTTTTTTGACAGCCCTACCCACAATTGAGAGAACAAATGTTCATAAAATAAAAATATTATCTCCCACAATTTTATTTATTTATTTTCCCTCTTAGGAAGTGGTTGCACTATCATTGAATCACACAAGCTTCTATAATTTACTAATAATATTTGCTCTTGTTGACCCGGGCATGAATATAAAGATCATGTAGGCCATAAAGCTTGATTAAAAAAGTTATATACTTTTAAAGAGCTTTGGGCTCGTTATAACATAAATGTGAGGTGCCTTCAACCAACAATATTTGTTGAAAGAGCACATAGGACATTTCAAATCCCTGAGAGGCTGAGCAAAATAAGACAAAGTGAATATGTATGAGAGCCCTATTGTGTTTCAAATGCCAGCACAATGACAAATCGTAGGCTTGCTCAGGAATGAAGAAAGTTTTGCTATATTACATAGTATAATAATGAGAAGGAAAAAAAGGCAGCTAAAAATACATCTCTTCTCCACATATATCACTCATTAGAGTAGGAAATCGCATTCTCGCTTGATTAGAGAAAGAATTGATCATATCCTTATCATGTCAACTTTAGATGAAGTGTAATATCTTTATCAACCTCATTTGAGATTTATTAGATTATTCAACCTCCTTGGAATTATAAATATAAATAAATCTCATCAAAATCAAAATTTTATTATCATAATTTTTTTTTTAAAATGTTTGTGTTCTCTTTCAAGTAATCCAATTCACCTCTTTTTTCATTAAAAGAATAACCCGATGGTCTCCTCTCACCCTCAATTCTTAGGGCCTGTTAGGGAAGAAAATATTACGTCCTGAGTTCCGACGTAAGCTGCATCCAAACAATAATTATGATCCACCGAACCGTTGCTTAGACTCAGCTTGTGTCCGAACTCTGAACATAATATTTATTCATGTCAGAGACAACTTTATGTCTGCTTTGAGTTTCAGACCGCCAACACAACTCAACCGCTGTTTAGACTCAACTTGTGTCCGGACTCTGAACATAATATTTATTCCTGCTAGAGACAACTTTATGTCTGCTTTGAGTTTCAGACCGCCAACACAACTCCGTTTGAGAAATTATTTTCTTATATATATATATATATATAATATTTTCTACCTCATGTTTTCTAAATAGTTCACGAGAAGCATGCTAGATATTAATTAGATGAAAATTTGTTAACAATGTATTTATTGGTGAATTTATTAAATTCAGAGATGCCATTTATAAGAGGCATTAATTAATTATAATTTAAAGGGACATTTACACATACCAAACATTTCTTATATATTTAACACCTACATTTTCATATTTACAAGCATACCACTCAAATTTTTTACATCACATAAAAAATATATTTACTTTCAGGTAAAATACGCCACCAAATACAAAAGTTCATAACACCAAAATTTTATAGATGTAAATAACAAAGTTTAGGTGCTAGTTATGTAAATACATAAAAATTGTGTGGCACGTGAATAAATTTCCCCAATAAAATTGGCCCATCCTTAAATGAATTTTTTTAATATTATGAAACTTCTTTATAATTTTTTTTATATTATATTACTTTATAATAAATTATAACAGCCTCTCCCTCACCCTCAAAAAATTTGTTGGGATATTTACATACATACCAAACAATACTTATATATTAACATACCTACCACCTAAACATTCATATTCACATGCACAACACTCACAACACGGTATAATTTGGACAAATATGAAAAAAAAAATTAGAAAATACAAATTAATTTGAACAAACATTAAAAACTATATTCCCTTACGGTTTTATTGGACAAACGTGAAAAAAAAAATGAAAAAACTTTCGCTGGCTGCAATTTTTATTCCAGTATAGGATTAATTTGAAAAAAGATGAATAATTCCAACAAAAAACCATTTTTTTACACAATTTCAGTACGAACCGTCTGAATCGAAAATACACAAAAAGCAACACCTTTTTTTTTTTCTTTTTTGCAATATAAACCTCGCGTGTCATTACGCCAAGAATAAGGGGGCAAATCGTCTCATTATTGGCATGCGGTGAAGTGAGACGGGTCCATGAAGACACCTAGCGCATTGCAGCCCAGCTCCAGCAGTTTTCCTGGGGTCAATAATGCAAAATAAACTTTATTAGATGGCGCAATGCGATTCTATGAAAGAAAATACAAAATAGTAGCAATTAATGGGCGTCCTGAATGGTCTACGAATCTCATAACTTTGTAATTAAATGAGAATTTGATAGCGACAACGTAACCTTCAACAGAGAAAATGTGATCTCCGGACGGGAAAGTGATGTATTTATGAAGGGAATAAATGGTTTGGTTTGCAAAAATAATTATGGATGTTGATGTTTGAACCAGTGACAATTAAGATATGAGGCGCAAATATGTAAAAATGAAAACTGAAATGTTAGATATGTAAATAAGTAAGAAATGCATGGTTTGATTGTAAAATTTTCTAAACTATTAAATTTAGGGATACAATATTTCAATATTTAATATACATTAAAAATATTTAAAATTAAATATATTTGTAAGCAAATATTTTTATCAATATAAATACGAAAATAATATATCAATAAATACAAAAAATAAAATTTTGGACGTATAATACACAAAAAAAGCTAGAGATAATTAATTTCTTACATTTTAAAAAAACATTAAATACCAAATACGCCAATAAGTCCCGTGAATCGTGATGACCGGGAGCTTTATTAGTGAACTGGCAGATTGCATGTGCTCACCTGACAGGTGCACTTACCGCGCTCAACAGACAGTAAGCTTTTCCAATTGCATAAGTAAATGAATAAATAAATAGAGAAAAATGATGCGCCGGGAAGGAAAAGCGCGTCCTAGCCGGAAAACTTCAACTACGGCGACCGGAAACCAAGTCAGACGAACCGCATTACATGAATAATAGATGCAAGAACAATCTACTCACCTCTCCTCAACTTGGTATCGGTAGCCTTCACAGAAGGCTTCTTTGCTACAGCTCCCGCCGGGAGGGGCGAATCCTCGGGTGGGAACAGCACCGTATCAATTCCCTGAACTGAGATCCTCCCATCAGTGTAGATGTCTGGATCAAACAGATAAGCGGATCCCTCTCCCTGCCCAAACTTCACCGATCCATCAGCTTCCCTCGCTACGATCTTGTGCGGCAGACGCAGCGTATCGTACCGCACTTTTCCAAACCGCCGGACAGCATTGTACATGCTCTCTTCCGTCTGGTACTCCGGGATGAGATGGTAGTAGATGATCTGCTCCGGTGCACCTGGCTCACTGAGTTGATCGGCGGTAAGCCTAGCCATGGCTTCATCGTTTGGGGCGAGGACAGTGAGCACGTAGCCCTCGGAGACTAATCGTCCCATTTCGGTAGCTAGGGAGGTGAGATTGACAAGAATGTCGGCGAATTCTTTGTAGCCGCCGTAGAGGATGAGGGTTTGGATGAAATCCTTGATCTGGCGGTGGCCATCGAACCAGTGCTTGCCAGATCCAGGGCCAGGAGCAGGGGCGGGTGCTATTGCAGGGCCTGGAGCCAAGGCGTCGTAAATGGGGAGTGCGGGAGGAGATCCAGCCGGGGATGGTGAGGCCAGTTTTTTGAGGCGGTGAGTACGCGGATCCACCTCCGGAGCGCCGATCGGAAGCACGGCGGATATGTCGGCGAGATTTCGCCGACGATTGAAGTCCTGTTGAACGGATCGGGGAACAAGAAGACAATCTATACCGTGAATGACGCCATCGGGGCGGACGACGGCGTCGGGCTGGACGATGGAGGCGAGTTCGACGAGGTGGTGGCCAGATTGATTGCGGGAGAGGCTGATTTTATCACCGGCAAGAGTGCGGTGGTTCGCGGAGGGGAAGGAGGATGGAATTAAGTTGGGGACGAAATGTAAAAGAATTAGGGTTTGGAGGGATTTGAGGTTGCCGGGTTCCAGGAGGAAGCGCTTGAACTCAGGGTCGAGGTCCCGCTCGAGAGCTTCGTTGCGCGGCGCAAAGACTGTGATGTTATGGCTGCCGACTGTTTCTTCTAGGGTTTGGAGGAGGAGAGCTTTTTCGATGAGCTCTGATATTTCGGTGTAGTGAGAGTCGAGGAGGGCAACGAGGATGGAGTTGGAGTTGATTTGGCCGGGGCCGGATGAAGCGTAAGGAGAGGACAATGCCGGTGGGATGGAGAACAGGATTAGGGCTGAAAAGAGTGGGTAAAGGATGGCCATCTTGAAGGGGGAATCCATGGCGCTGTCGGCGGCGAGAAGGGAAGTGAGAGCTTACAGAATCCTCCCCTGCCTCTACTGCTTTCCCCTTCTGAAAGTGGGAAGATGGCGTAGGTGGGCATTAACTAGCCTTTTTTTTTTTCGGATTTAATCATATTTTCATAAGAAGGCAGCACGAAACACGTGGCGATATCAGAAGTGTTAAAGAGGCTGCACGGAACACGTGGCGATATCAGAAGGGCGAAGGACAGGCTGGCGACAATGGGAGCCGTGCACTTTTGTCGTCGGTTGTTTTATTTATATTAAATCCTGCCTGCACTAATTTGAAGGTGCTAGGGGCCGATGTACAAATACAAAAGATTTGTGTGGTATGCATATAAATTTTACTTTTTTTTTTTGTTTTCTCGTCCATGGTTTTGGCGCGTCTTTTCCTTCATTTCTCTCGGCTCACAGGACCTGCTGTAAATGGAGTATAGCTTGATTTTGGATCTGTTTAGCTGCAGCTTATCGGATAATTTGCTAATTAGTTGATTAAAAATAATTTGTTGATAAATTAAATGAGATGGTTACTAAAAATTTTTATTTTTTTGGAAATGTCAGACAATAATCAGAAATCTATCACCTCACCTAGATAAGTGTGATGGTTTCAGCATTTTGAAAACGAATAAGCTGTCAAAACACAGTTTACCCAAACAAATTACATGCGTTTTCAAAACGTCATCGCACCAAATAAATTGCCCCAAAAGGACCCTAAGAGCTACTTAATCTGAGTTTTAAGAATATGTTTATATGTAATTTGTTTAAATTTAAAATTTTTCATATTTAATTTATATGTAACTTGTAAATTTAAGTAGCACTTAATTTTTTATATAAAATTAATCATTTCATTTGTACATATTTTCCATATAAGACAAATTAATAAGGTGAAAATTTAAAAGAATTTTTATTTATTTTTATATAAAGTTATTAAAAAAGATCTTACGAATTTAAATAATATTGACTATTAAATTTCATATTAACATATAACTAATCAATAATAAGCAAATAAAATAATTTGTAAGTTAAAAAGTAAGTATTTTTATAATAAAAAAATTATAAATAAGTTTACAAAAAATACTTCATTAAAATAACACTATAATATTATTTTTTTTTTGAATTGATGTGTATGTTGATACAACAACATCAAAAACAGATTTTTATCCCACAAAGTGGGGTCAGCTATATAAATAATTTTTCTCCATTGCATTCTATTGAGTGTCATATTTTCATTTAATTTTAATAAGTTAAGATCATTTTCTATAAAATATGCCCAAGTTTTTCTAGGTCTACATATGCATTTATTAATATATGTAGAATCTAAAGCATCTAAACTCCTAACCAGATCATCTGATGGTCAACGTTTAACGTGACCAAACCATCTAAGATGATTCTCTTTAATTTTGTCCGCTGCTTCAGATGACCAACCCTATCACAGATATATTCATTTCGCATTTTCTTTCTAAGTGTAAAGCCAGTCATCCACCTAAGCATTCTCATATCGGCGACATATAACTTAGTTTTATACTTCTCTGTTAAAGGGCAACATTCAGTGCCGTAGATAATTGCAGGTCTCACCATCTTCTTATAAAATTTCCCTTCAATCGAAGTGGTACTTTTCTATTATACAATAGGCCCGAAGTGTTCCTCCACTTCAACCAACCAACTTGAATTATACTAATAACATCCCCATTCATATCACCATCACTTAGAACAATTGACACGAAACTAAAGCGTTCACACCCTTTAATAATTTTATCACCCATAATTACAACTCTGATGTTAAAGCTACTGTTACTAAAATTGCATTCCATGCATCAATATTAATTCTTTTTCCTGGTTTAGACATGTATTTGCAGACTTGACTAACATCATGAGTCAAATCAAGACGATCACATACCATTACATATATCAAGCAGCCAACTGCACTGACATATGAAACTTTTGCCATGCATTCGATTTTTGTATCTATCTTAAGACACTATTCTGAAGAAAGCTGAAAATGATTTGCCAATGGAGTGCTTACAGGCTTTCTTTTGCTCATCTCAAACTTATCTAGCACTTTTTCAACATAGCCTCGTTGAGATAAACGCAGTCGTCTTAAGCATCTATCTCAATGAATCTTTACTCCAAGAATCTTCTTCGTAAGACCCAAGTCTTTCATGTCAAATTTCTGGCTCAATAAAACTTTCAACTAATGATATCATGCATATTCTTTGCAGCAATCAGTTTATCGTCAATATACAGTAGCAGAAAAACAAAAGAGCCATCATCAAGGCTCTTGCATAGACACAACAATCATACTTATATTGATTGTAGCCAATTTGAATCATGTATGAGTCGAATCGCTTGTATCATTGTCTTGGAGACTGTTTCAACCAATACCTTGATTTATTTATTCTGCAAACCAGATGCTTCTGTTCAAATTGAGTAAACCCTTCTAGCTGCTCTATGTAAATTTGCTCCTCCAGATCGCCATGTAAAAATACAGTTTTAACATCCATCTGCTCCAGATGCAAATCCTAAATAGCTACTAATGCAAGCATTGCTCTGATTAAAGTATGTCTGACCATAGAAGAAAATATTTCATCATTATCTATCCTCTTCTGCTCTGAAAATTTATTTGCTACTAGTTGAGCCTTGAACTTTTCCCCTTCTTTTCTGTTACTGTTGGTTTCCTTTTGTAAAACCACTTGCACCAAATAGTCTTCTTTCCCTCAGGAAGCTGAACTAGCTCTCATGTGTGATTTTTCTGCAAAGACTCCATCTCTTCAACCATTGCAGCTATCTATTTCTCTTTCTCATGGCTGGTGATAGCTCCTTGAAAGGTGACTGAATCATCACTGCTGGCAAGTCTAAAACCACAGTTAAAAGCCTTTGCAACACTAGCAATTACAACGATTTAAAATCTGATGCAATGAAAATAGTAGTTGTTTTTATTATTACGATAAAACCCTTTTTAATAGTGGCTGTAATGGGTCGCATAGGCCGTAGTGGTAAGGTGCAAGTTGAGCGCTTTAAGAGTCGAAGAAAGTTACAATCTTCAGGGTGCATTGTTATCGTTGCATCTTTTGTGTGGTGCCTTGTCACACCGTCATTGAGGGTGTCGTTGCACCGTATTCATGTTACATTGTCACACCTTATCAAGGATGTGTTGTTCCACTGTCTTCAAAATGCATCATTACATTTTATTTATGGTGTGCTATTACACTGTCTATGAGATACATTGTTATACCGTATCTGACTAGCATTGTTACACGTTTGTAAGATGCTTCACCGTTCTGCAACGCACAAGGCATCGTTGTAAGCACCAGGAGGTGCCCCATGATGATCGATGGTGGCAGAAAAGGTGATGGTCATAGTTAGCCGAGGGTAGTGACCAGAGGCTGTGGCAGTGATTGTCAGAGGCAGTTGTGGCTATCAGAGGCGGTTATTGGTGTAGACGATGGTTGATGTCGCCAAGCGGCAAGGATTGTCGAAGTGGGAGGCATTCGTCTGATCTATAAAGCATAAGCGATGTTGGACTCCAGCTTTTCTTCCAAGCTTCAGCCTTCTGCTGGCTTAAGACATCTCTCCCCTCTCGAGGGGTTATGACTTTATTTATAAAGTTAATATTACAAATAATGAAGGAATCCAAACCACTAGGCTCCTTAGATTCGTACTGCTGAGACACTCGATTTGGCTATAAGCATGTCATGTTTGGAATTTGTTAGACCTTTCAACTATGTCCAAAAGACTTCTCAGTGATCTAATGACTTGATTGGGGCTAGATTCGATTTGGATTGAACTAATTTTAACATTGTTGGATCCATCTTGCCGATTTAGTCAATTTGACCGCAACTTTATTGAAATCAAAGCTCCCGATAAATTTTAATCTAAATATAAATTTTTTTATTTAAAAAATTATCTCGAAAATTATATCATATCATGAGATTCACGTCGTTATTGATGCTCATGGCATGTCAGTAATACGTATTTTATAGCAATCATTTAGACATATAACCACCAAGGTTAAATTGCAGATTAGATGAGGGCAGAATCTGTATTAAAATAACTTAATTTTTTTATTTTTTAATGCTATTTTTTAATGCTGCGATAATATAAATAATAATAATAATAATAGTCTATATTATATGTAGCTAATTTAAATAATTTAATTTAATTTTTAAAATTAATCATTACCCGATTCTTTATCAATATGGGTGGAAATGAGCTGTCTTGGTTTGCTTGCTGACCTAGGAACCAATATTTTGTGAGTATCAAGAGCCATACCCTCGACCGGTGAAGATACCGACGTTCCTCCCGCCCAATAAACTCCGTTGGGTCCTTTTATGGGTCCCAATCAATGGTGACGTTCCAAGTGTCGGTGGCTGTATAATTGGTTTCGTTAATGTTTAAACCCGAATTTATCACCCGGCTTACGCTTTAAATAATTCGCAACTTTTTCAAAAAAAAAAAAAAAAAAAAAGAGATTTAAGGTGAAAAACAGCGACTAGAGTTGTCAAAACAACTCTTTGCTCGAGAATGAGCTAAACATAAACAAATTTTTGGTGTTTGAAATATAAACGAGTCGAGCATGTATTTGTAGTATTCTTTAACAAGATAAATACGATTTGAGCTTGAGCTCGCTTGTGTTCGGCTCGTTTACACATTTATTTGCAGATAATTAATTATTATTATTATTATTATATGCACAAAACATATGTTTTATTTTTTTGTTTTTTAATAGAGTTAAAAGTTCTAACAAAGAAGTTATAAATTTATATTGTGACTTAATTAATATGTGTAATTTATGATAATTTTCTTAATTTTGAATAATTGAGTTCTTTTTATTTTTTTTAAAAGATTTACCTATATATCACTCAATTCTTATGTATTTAACAAAGCGTTGGTTTGGTGTTGGAACCCCTGATAGTGGTATTATGATTAGTACCCCTACAAGATGAGAGGTCTTGGAAGAATCTTCAGCTTGTGTCGAAATAATTGGAATTGGCATCTAGGTAGTATCTTGGTATATCGGTTGTTTGGTTATGAACTGGATGTGATGAAGAGTAATGGTGTTGTTGTTGGTATGACTACATAGAAAATGATGATCCATCTCAATGTTTTTGGTCCTCCATGAAAAAATGGTTTCTTGGCTGACATGGTCTTTGATATATTGTCATAATACAATGGAGTAAGTTTTGATGTAAGCACG